AAATTTACAATACCATCATCAACACTACTCTTGCATTAACCCTCAATTAACTCCACCTCTATATCCAACAAATGTTGAGAAAACCAAGATCCAAACATTTTCGAGAATTCGCCTTGGTCATACAATTGCAACTCACCAATGGATCCTGAAGAAGTCTTCTCCCCCAATCTGCTGTTGTGGACAAACTCTTACTATAAAGCACATTCTCTGCGACTGCCTCAACTTTTCCTTGGCTAGAAGTATTGCATTTGGAACGATTAACCCTTTGAACATTCTACAATCAGCTTCAGAACAGAATATCAATTCAATATTTTACTTTATTAATACTACTAAGCTTATTATCTAATATCCATTTATTTAAATTAGAGCCGATAGCCTGTGTTGCTAGTGCTCAATGTCTCTTTTTTTAGTCTAAGAATTCAATTCATTAGTCTAAAATTAAAATAATAATAATAATAATAATAATTTACCCCTTATATGTACTGTGAGGGCTTAAAGACGTCCTTCGTTTTGACCTCACATATATTCCGTCAATGAAACTGCGCTGCTGAAAGGGTTTGAAATGGCAGTTTGAATGAATTCGTAAGGTAATCATTCTTCCCATTTTTCAATCTTTCCGATCGCTGGCAAGCATTTAGAAACAGCTTGAGGTGGGTTTTAGTTCAGTAAGTTATGCAATTCATTGTTTCGAACTTTTTTGGCTCTCCAGGCCGTTGTTTGTCATTGCCATCAAAATCACCACTTTCAATCCATTGAAACTAATACCGGCAATCAGGACATGAGGAAGCAGCAGCATCATAAGCTTCTAAAAGTCTTTGGTGGGCTTCTGCAGTAAATTTCTTCAAATGAAACAACGAAATTTATGAATGCCCAAAATGTAATTTTGAGGGTTGCATGATTAGCGTCTGTACACACTGAATAACTCAATAACAGTAAAACGAAAATTTATTTTATCTAGAGAAAGGTCAAAAACTTCGAATTTGTTGTGTACAATGACACTTCGCATTATTTTATCAATATCACCAATAGATGTCGCTGATCGAAATATATAACCTAATGTATTACATTTCCGTTTGAACAAGCAAACAAACGGTTTCGATACGGCACGAATTATCCACGTTCGACGAGGACTTTCGACTTCTCACTGCCCCTCATAACTTATTCACATGTACAAAGAATAATTCTAATCTTTTTTTTCTTTTCAGAGGTGTCATTCAAAAGGTGTAGAGAAATCTTAAATCTCTTTAGCGCGGCATTGTGCAAACTTATGTTATGCGTTCTCGATCGGTGGGAAAGCTTCAAAGAATTTTTTTGTCATAACATATGGAAAAGATAATGTTATAAAATAATTAAATATGAGGATTTTTACTTGCGACTGAAACCAATTATAATTTGAAGCAATAGGTGCCGTGTTTGCTGACAGTGCACATATATTTCCAAACGCATGTAAATTAAACTTAGGAATCTATCTTATGAATATAAGTTTTTGTGTTTTTCTAGTTGCCCATGCCCAAAATCATTCGGATCAGAAGAGTCCATTTGTTAAGAATATGCCGTGTTAAAGTTGTTGTTGTGGACGGTAAAAGTTGAATTTCTAAGCAATAAATAGAGAAAAGTATTGATTTTGGAAAAGCTTTTTGATATTTATCAATATATTCTATTTTTATTACATTTGATGGTGCCGAACAAAAAAGCGATGAGGTTATTACGGACGGCCTTGTGTGATTAAGCCATGTCGCAAGAATATGTTCTCAAGTGGTACAAAGACTTTAAAAAAGGCCGCGAACGAGTACAGGACGAACACCAACCAGAACGACCATCAACATCGACCGCTAACGAAATCAAAGATTTGATGCGTGAATGTCGTGAATTGACAATTGATGACCTTTCATTTGGATCAACCCGAACCATTTTTAAAGATCTTTTCTGCCTTAAAAGCTGTGAAATCTCGATTGTTTAAATTTTTGCAGTTCACCAAAAACTCAAACCACGTCATTCCACAACTACCGTATTTCCTTGATATCTGGCTGCTCAAGAGACTTAAAAAATCGATTCATGGAAACCCGAACAAAAGACCGAATATAAGTCAGACATTCAAAGCTATTCCGAAGAAAAATTATGACTTTTTCGGTATCAGATCGGAAAAAACATTGGTATAAGTACGTTGTGTGCGTATGTACGACAACGAGCACTTTGAAGCCGATAAAAGTGAGATTTACCTCAGTCGGTTTTCTAAAGGTCACAAAGGATTGATAAATTTAATTAAACGTGTATGTTGGGCGAATTGTGTTCGTGTGCTAATATTTTTGCAAGTACATTGATTATCAGTATTTCATATTATTACGAAATTCGTTGTTCTCGTATACGGTTCGTATCACCGGATCGAGGATATTCTTTTTAAGAGAAACACACTTGCACATTTTCACTACGAGAATATATAATGATTAACCATAACTTCCTAATTACGTTCAGTACCTATTTGAATCAAAAATGTATACTTTAAGAGCCCTCATACACAGATCAGATAAAGATGATTACTTCATTTAAATAATGCAGACTTCAAATAAAAGGAAATTATGTCACTTTTTTTCTTTTTTAATAAAAAGAAGGAATTACAAACATATGTTAGACTGTAAGCCGCGTGTAAATGGAATATTCCTATAGATAAAGGTGATTATTATTTACGCGCACATTTAAATAAACTTAATATAAATTTAACACATATCGATTGCGTAAATATTTACAACGAATTTTTTGTTATCAATAACAAATAATAAGAGTGAGTTTCATTAACAGCAGTATTTCTGTTCAAAGACCTTTCACAACATGTTGTTTATTTTGTTATTCTCATTTCTGTCATAACTTTTCTCGTTGTTTTCTTCTTTTTTTTTTGGGACACGTAACCACAATTGCCCATAGGCTGTAGGCATGGGTTAAGTGAGCCCGAAATACATACATACATGCTTTATATTTCTTGCAGAAGCAACAAGACAACAACTGATTTATTTCGACAAAATATGCACATCATTTTTTCGTTTTTGTCAAAAAGAAAATTCTCTGAATAAAGGCTGAAACAAACAAAAATTCATAAATGCATAAATGTGGGTGAATGCCACGTTGATGCGACGTAGAATCTTCTCCTTCAATGCATGAATGGTTATGCGCTCGTTAACGTAGACCTTTGACGTCATATAATCCCATAAAAATAAATGAAATAGTACTAAATCACATGATCTACGGTCCGATTTCGATGGCCGAAACAAGAGAGCACCCAAGCAAGGAATGTCTTGTGCAGTAATTGAATTGTTTCGCAGAGGCGCCGTCTGGTTGAAACCAGATGTCATTCATATCATTATCATCCAATTTTGGCAGAATGAAGCGAATCGTCGACCAATAGCAGTCATTGCTTGACCAGTCTCATATGCGAAGAAGTGTGGTCCAATGGTGACTGCAGTCTAAAATGCGCACGTTGTTAATGCATTTATTTTTCGGCAATCACATGTGGGATCTCTGAACCCCAAATGCCGGAATTTTGAGGATTAACGACAATATTTTGTACTAAATTTGCGAACAATGGCCTCCAACCTTTTACTATATTTGGAATATTTTCAACAATGAAAACGCATTGCTCTATCGTGTAATGCTCCATTTTTACTAATCCTAAACTGTCAGTTGTCAAACTGTTCTGTTTTTTATGATCGCTTTACCATACAAATGGCGGCAAATTCCAATCTTGCTTTTGGGATATCCTATAGTATACACTATCAACCAATACACTTTGCAGACCCGGAAAATAAGCAATTGTTGCTAATTTAAATCGGGAAAGAAAAAAGTTCGAGAAATGGGTATACAACCACATAAGGCAGTTTATTTGTAAGAGAAACAAAAGGGAAAAAATGTGAAAACCATTCTCTAAAAGAAAAGAAAAATTTCCACATATCCCTCTTATGTTTCTTTTAATGGCTCTGATTCCTTGGATGATTTTGATGTCTCAAATCTGTTTTCTGAGTATTTCCGACGAAATTTTTCGATTGCTAATTTGGATTTATCAGCAAACTACCTATATCCTATAACTAACTCGGTTTCAATTCCTTACTTGGTTCTTTCGGAAGATGACGTTTTTGATGGGTTGAGTTATCTAAAATATAGTTGTGCGCCTGGGCCTGATGCAGTTCCATCATGTGTACTTAAATCATGCGCTGTCGAGTTATGTGGAGTGAATCTCAAAGATTTTTAACCTGTCTTTGAATTTAGGTGTTTTCCCTTCGTGTTGGAAGAGTAGTTTCCTTATTCCTATCCACAAAAGTGGTAGTAGACAATTTGTAGACAACTAAAGAGGCAAAGCCAAGTTGAATGTCTTGCTTAAGTTGTTCGACCGAATTGTGACTCAGCATTTGACCTTTGCCATTAATTCGTATATTTCTCCGTACCAGCACGGCTTTCGGAAAGGGCGATCTACAGTCACCAACTTGTTAGAGTTTACCTGTCATGTTTTCAAGGCTTTTTCTAGTGGCTGCTGCACAGATGTTATATACACTGATTTAAGCAAAGCGTTTGATATGGTTAACCATAACTTACTTATCTTTAAACTCCAAGCCTCTGGCTTCCCTTTCATTTTAGTAAAATGGATATCTGCACAATAGATCATTGATGGATTTATTTAACTTCATCACCTTGGATGAATTCCCCGTGATGTCTGGCCTCAAGGTAGCCACTTAGGTCCCATTTTATTTAGCTTATACATTAATGATCTCCCATCGGTGATTAATTCCAGTCAGATCTTAATGTATGCTGATGATGTGAAACTGTTTTCTTCCTTCTCTCTAGAATCACAATCACATCACCTTTAAAGTGACTTGAATAATTTGGTTGCATGGTGCTTTTTGAATCTTCTGAAAGTAAATCTAAATAAATGTAAGAAGCTTTCTTTCTCAAGAAGAAAGTCATTCATTACTCGGTATTTCATTGATTCGAATAAGTTGGAGGACGTCGACACGTTCATAGATTTAGGCGTTCTATTTGACCATAGGTTACGTTTTAACATGCACATTGAACTCTTTGAGAAGTTTGGGTTGGGATCCGATTGCCTCTCTTCCCCCCTATGAAAATAGGTTGCTTCTATTATCCTTATCGTCTCTCGAAAAACGTAGATGTGTTCTTGGGGTTCCCTTCGTAATCAAATTAATAAATGGTACAATTGGCTCGCCCGCATTACTTGGTGAAATAGGCTTTAACGTCCCCAAACGCTTCTCTAGGCATTTTATCTTGGTTAAGCTTAGTCAGTGTAAATATAATTATGAGTTGTTTAAACAGCTCCGTGTCGTTTGCAAGAACCTAAATGACGTCGAGCACTTATTTTCATTATCGGACTCTTTAAAGTCCATTAAAGCAACATTGCTTAATACGCGCGACTTACCTACGTCGTACTTAAACTAGCTCTTAACCTTAAGGAGTCGTTACGATTCGAAAATGAATTGTTGTTAACTATTATCGGTTGCCAGGCTTATGCATGTTTGCGATGGTTTTGGGGTTCATTTGCAATTTGGTTCTGTACCGGTTGTAAGTGTGGCTCTATGCTGGTTGTGTACATGCTTTTTTTTTCTTCTTGTTTGTTTTAATGTACTTATACTAAGTTTTATTATTAATTAATATAAGTTTTGCTTTAAGTGCCAATTGAACTCGACTGTTATTTGTTTAGTTGAGTTTCATGTATAAGTAGAATTAAAGTAAAATAAATAAATAAAAAGGCAAATGGGCCTGGTTAGCAAATGAGCAGCAAACAAAAAATGCATTAACGCAACTATTTGCCGCTTGTCAGAGCTCAAATCACTAATAACTTACATTTCTGAAAGCACGTGTGATTTGTGAAGCAACTAGACGAACGTTAGCAGAATTGGACCAACTATTTATTTTTGATTCTATACCAGTAAATTAGATCCTTCTGTGCCCTAACGCTTTAAACTGAATAAGTAATAGTTTATTTTTGCAATTTTTACACCTTTGGCATTGTTTTTGTTATATGTCGAATTGCTTTGCTTTGTTTTGTTTCAATTATTCACGCACTTTCATATTTATTTGAATGTACTTTAAATTACATTTTAAAATAAAACTAAATCTTTTTTGCATTTTTTCATGAATTCTTATATATATAAGGATTTCTTATATATCCCTATATAAATAAATTTTTATACCTCTTCTCTTTGGAAAGTGCGTGCTATTTATGTGTACTGTACGTGGGCTGAGCATGCTCGGAGAGAGTACATATGCATATTTTGACTCAAGTTAAATTGTTGGACATCTGGACCGCAATATATTCGAAACGTAATATATTTACCAAGCCAAGCACCCAACAATGCAATAAAAATATTGCTCATACGTTGAAATGTTTGCTTATAAATGCTTCTCTTTACCTCTTTTTCGAATAAGAGAAGAGATAGAGAGAAAAATTGGCACATAAAGTGACGGACGTTGATAAAAAGACAAACACATTTTAATAAATAAAAATTTCAAACTATTTGTGTTTTTTCTTATAATTGCCGACGGACTCATGAATCAATTCAACTAGTTTTGGAATTTTAAATGTAACATCTTAGTTTTACAACTGAGGAAATATTTACCACGCGTATTCACACTGGCAGATTGACGGAGAGACAGACATAGCTAGACCGATTCAGAATTTGAAATAACTCAAGAATATGTCTACTCTTTATAGGGCCCCCGAAACTTTCTACTTGATTTTTCGACAGGATGAATGTGTCCTCAACCTTCAATAATGGGTATAAAAAGAGAGTGAAGCCTTGTTCTTTTCTTATTTTTCTATCATCTACAGTTGTTAACAACTATTAACTGTAACTGTAGTAAAAAGAAAAGAAATTGTTTCAATTGGTGAACACAATCAAGATCTGGACCAAAGATAAATGTACATAAAGATCACTAGACAAATAAGAAAACTCTACTATGTTTATTTTTTATTATTATTTAGTTTTGTTTTATATGTAAGCAATAGGAATCACCTAGATTAAAGTTGGAAGTTTTCTGTAAAACACATGAATTTTTAAGGAGGCCTATGCTCAAAAAGACACAATATACAAAAAAACGGCAACTCTGTTCAAGCGCTGTGGTCACATTTTTCTCTTTGTGAAAAAATTTTTGCAATTTATTCTTCTATTTAATTTCTTTATTGCGTTATACGTTTTTAAAAGTTTTCAAACTTATTAAAATTTATTGAACTTTTTGTGTGTTTATTGCGAAAAGTGTTCATCGCGAATACCGTACGTGTTTTCCTTTAAATATATTAAAAAAAAAAAAAAAAAAAATTAAAAACATCTGACATTTTATTCAGTAGTTTCCCAAATCTTTTCAATTGAGTGGTTATTTCACAAATAATAAGCAATAGACAACAATAAGGCATAA